TTTCCCTCAGGAAAAGGCCCTTCGTGTTGCTTAAGTGTCTCATGTAACCTCTTTGTTGTTTGGCAATCCCTACATTCTGGGGAGGAAAACTGTGGGAAATAAGCCTATTTACTGACCACAGTACAGGGACAAAAAAAATTTCCTGGACACTTCTATGAAAGGTCAGTTTGAAGGAGGACAGTTCCAGACCAAGGCCTAGCTGTGTCTATTTGAGAGGAAATGGCTGACGGAGAAGGGTCTGGAACAGCACTTTGTCTCCAAAACCGGGCTGCGCAAAAGCGTCCAGAGGTAAAAATGGAGGAGTACAACCCAACAGGTCCCAGACTAACAGAAGGAGGGGAAAGATCTGGAAAATCGCCTCGCATCATTCAGGTCGGGACCATCCGGGAGCTTCTCAACTGGGCTGCACCACGGGAGGTGAAAGAGGAACCGGATGAAGGGTTATCGCAACGATGGGAAGCCCAGTGGCAGGAGTTCCTCAGGGCCATGCAGTCTCCTCAGTTGGGGTGGGGAAGCCCGCAGTTGATGGAGGATGCTGCGTTGTGGGGAGACAACAAGGCCTTCTTTGCCTCCTTCGAGCGACTGGCCGCCACCTGCAAGTTGCCCCGTCGGGAATGGCTGGCTCGCTTGCTGCCCGTCCTGAGTCGGGAGGCCAGAGAGGCCTACAGCAACCTCAGCCTCCAAGACCGAGGGGAGTACGCCAAGGTCAAGGCAGCCATCTTGCGAGTAGATGCTGTCAAGATGGAGACGCAGCGACTGCGCTTCAGACAGTTCCGCTACCACGAGACGAAGGGGCCCCGGGAGGCGTGCAGCCAGCTCCACAGACTCTGCCACGGATGGCTGAAGCCAGAGAAGCGAACTAAGGAGCAGATCCTAGACTTGCTGGTCCTCGAGCAGTTCCTGACCGTCCTGCCCAAGGAGATCCAGAACTGGGTCAGGGAGCACGATCCAGAGACCTGTGCTCAAGCGGTGCCCCTGGCGGAAGACTTCCTGCTCAGGCGGCGAGAGGCCGAAAGGAAGGAGAAACAGGTAGGTCCCTTTTTCATCTAGACAAAGAGGCCCACGCTGAGGGCTTTGTGTACAGTATCTTAAAATCCTGCATGTTGTTTCCCATTCAGTGTTTTAATATTGTGATTTTAATTGTTCTTCCTATGTAGTTAGCCACCCTGGGAACTGGGGGGAGTGAGGTTTTGAGATGGAGACTCAGATTTTTGAGGGCAATTGACAATCAGTTTCCCTCCCCCTCCCTTATGAAACATATATAAAAAGACAGTTATTGTGTTAGATAGATGCTGCTGGTGTTTTTAGCTATTAGTTTTTATCCCACCCTTTCTCAAGGGAGCTCAGGGTGACCTACATGGTTCCCCCTCCTCCATTTTATCCTCACAACAGTTGGGTTGCCAGGTCCTTACTGTGTTCCAGGGGGGGCGTGCACTTCTTCCCAGAGCCTTCTATTGTTACCATAGAGTTTTTCCTCAAATGCTAGAGCGTCCCCCTGCAACATGCCCTGTGCGATGATGTCATCTCTGGGTGACATCACCGTGCCGGGCATGTTGGTGCGGATGAGGCTGCTCGGGGGTGGGGCTCCCCTTGCTAGCCAGAAGCAGAGGCAGACTGTGGGCCCTGAAAGCAGGGAAACCCCTGCCCCCATTGGGGGGGGTGGCAACGCTACAACAGTAATCCTGTGAAGTAGGCTAGGCTGAGAGACAGAGTGTCATGTAGGTCAGCCAGCGAGCTTCATCAGTCAGCAGGGATTTGGACCCAAGGACCTCTGGTCCTAGTCTGACACTCTAAGCCCTACATTTATTGGCTCCCCGATAACATCTATGGTGATTTATGGTGATTGTATATCAAAAATCCAGGAGAGAAAAGACCAAATGTGTATGTAATATTCTCCACCTGCAATCAATTTCTTCATGATATTTCAGTCCTTCAGTATTCATTGAGGAGTACCTCTTTTATTATTTTTGCTCCCAAGTAGGTAATCCGTCATTTTCACAGTGTCATTTATGGATGGTTTTTCCCTTCCCCGTAACACAGAACAGATGTTAATTTTAAGTGATGAAACTGATTGCGCAGATCTTATTTTTCTTACCACTGATATAGTTGGGATCTCATTCCAGAAGTGGGACATTAAAGTTTATAGCAGCTGCCAACAAATTAATTGTAAATTCTACCTCTTGTTTTGAACGCCTTATTAAAGAAATACTAATACCCACACTATAGGATCCCTGACTGGTTGTATCATTTGCCTGATTGGTTATATCATTTTAACGTCTCTTTCAGAGGCTGGAGACCAGGGTGGTGAATTGGCCAGAGACAAAGCCATCTCCTGCAGTTCCTGGGTTGAAGCGGTTTTGCAGAGAGGCTAAACCAGAAGAAAGCAGAGTTTTAGGTAGGGGCTTACCATTCCTCTATCCTCAGGCAAGCTTGGATGCTTTGTAGAGAATCTGGAGTGTGGGGGTGGGGAGGTGTGTCCCAATTCATAAATCACTTGGGATGCATCACTGTGTCACTTTCTGAAGGTTTCCTGGTGGAATGCCTACAGAATGTGCTTCTGCTGTTGTATGGTGTGTGTCTACAGGCACAGATGAGGAGAAAGCACATCCAATAGTAAAGGTAAAGGTTCCCTTGCTCGAAAGCCAGTCGAATCCGACTCTCGGGTTGCGGTGCTCATCTCCGTTTCAAAGCCGAAGAGCCAGCGCTGTCCGAAGACGTTTCCGTGGTCATGTGGCCAGCATGACTAAACACCATCCAATAGGGTGGGATATAAATGGAAAGCCGAATCCGGACTGCTTGTCCTGCACCTTTCTGTCCAACTATATTCAGATGTCACAAGCAAATCAATGTTTCTTCATGACGAGCACGAATCTGATTTATTCCGTGGATCGCATACTCCCTCACTTCCTTTCCCCAAAACCGAGGATTTTCTTTCCCCAACTGTGATGGTAAACCGTGGTTTAGATTTCTGGTTTGGTGAGGGAGAAACAAACCCAAATTTGTTGAAGAGCCCGCCTTTGGATGTTGTAGCACCCTGGAGTTATGCTGAAGGCTTCTGAAAGCAGGAAGATTGCAGGTGGAGTCATATGTGATGGGAAGGGGCCATGGCTTTGTGGCTAAGCATCTGCCTGGTATGCAGAACCCCCCAGGTTCCATCCCCAGCATGTGCAGTTAGAAGGACCACACAGTAGGTGGCAGTGTGAAAGAACCCCCGCCTGAGACTCTGCAGAGCATCTGCCAGCCCGAGTAGACAATACTGACCTTGATGAGCCAAAGGGCTGATTCAGTAGAAGGCAGCTTCATGTGTTCATACATGTGAGTGTGACAGTTTTGGTGTAGTGGTTAAGAGCGCGGGCTCTAATCTGGGAGAACCGGGTTTGATTACCCACTCCTCCACATGCAGCTGCTGGTGTGACCTTGGGTCAGTCATAAGTTCTTTCAGAGCTCTTCTCTCAAGGGCAGTCCTCGAGAGAGCTCTCTCAGCCCCCACCTACCTGACAGGGTGTCTGTTGTGGGGAGGGGAAGGGAAAGGGATTGTAAGCCGCTCTGAGACTCCTTTGGGTAGTGAAAGGGGGGGTAGAAATCCAATCTCCTCCTCCTCCCCTTTTTCTTCTTTTTCAAAAAATACTTGCGCGCCGAAAAATTAGCATGTTAGGGTAAAGGCCAGGTGCAAACTTTTAGCACTCTCAGATTGGTTTTTGCATGGAGCACAGATATTTATTCGTTTTGCAAAGGAGCATTCGGTCTAGTGAGTCTCTACCTGCAATGTGAAGAGCGGCACGGCCTAGCTGCATCCGTATGCCAGATGAGTGAGAGTTAGGCCGTAGGAAGGGGACATGACCTTTGGACAGAATTCCCAGGGCTGCTCACTAATACCATGTGACTCTACCCTTGGCTCTGCCTCAGATTCTCAGCTTGTGCACCTTGGGAGACAAGTTGCACAAAACAAATGGCGAAATCCAATTAGAGCCATTTCATAATCGAAATCGGATCCCCACGCCCTCAGACTGCTCATCGGATCAAATCCTGTTCCAGAACAAGTTCTGATGAGCGGTCTGACTACAGATCTGAGATTCTTTCTTGGCACTTATCAATGGTTTTGTCAGTACTTGGATGGCTTCTCGGAAGTGATCCAGGCAGAGAAGTATCTCTGAATGACTGGATCAGTCTCCCTACCCCCTACTGGGGTCCACATTCTATGCAGACATGGGGAGGTGTGGGGGGTGGGTGGGAAGAGGCAAGGAGTGGACAGATAATTTCCACTCAAGTGCTGTTCTTTCGAAGTACGTTTCAAACCTTCAGGAGTGAGAAGGGATACTAGTTTACACAGAGAGTGATTAAAAATCTGGTATTTGCTGCCAGAGGAGGTAGTGATGGCCACAGGAATAAACAGCTTTAAAAGGAGATTAGATAGGTTCATGGAGGATAGGTCTACCAGTGGCTACTAGCCATGGTGCCTGAGGGGAACCTCCCCATTCAGAGGCACTAAGCCTCTGAATCCCAGAGCCAGGAAGCAACATCGAGAGAAGGCCTTGGCCTCTATGCCTTGTTGTTGGCTGTCCAGAGGAACTGATTGGCCACTGCATGAGAAAGGATGCTGGATTAGAGGGACTATTGGTCTGATCCATAAGATTATAAGAGAAGTCACATTAGATCAGGCCAGTGGCCCATCCAGTCCAACACTCTGTGTCACATGGTGGCCAAAATCGAGGTCCCACCAGCGGGGCCAGAATTCCAGAAGCCCTCCCACTGTGGCCCCCGAGGCACCAAGAATACAGAGCATCACTGCACCAGACATAGCGTTCCCTCTATATCTTGTGGCTAATAGTCACGGATGGACCTCTGCTCCATATGTTTCTCCAATCCCCTCCTGAAACTGTCTATGCTTGTAGGCACCACCTTGTTGCAGGGCTCTTCTTATGTTGGTCAAACCCTAAACAGGATAGAACTGTGGGATGCTGCTTGTCTCTGGAAAATGTTTAACTTCCCTCCCATATCTTTCCAGACAACGCCTCCTCCAGCAGTGACCGCATGGAGAAGAGAGCAACCCGTAGCACAGAGAATGGGCTGAAGGTTCCCAGCAGAGCCCAGCCAGGACAAAGGGCCTTCCAAAACCCCGACAGCAGGAAAAACTTCCACCCAAACCAAACGTTCCTTAAACATCAGAAAAACCACGTTGCGGAGAGTCCCCATCAGTGCCCCGATTGTGGGAAGCGCTTCACTCAGCGTTCGAGTCTGACTATCCACCGAAGGATCCACACGGGAGAGAAACCTTACCCGTGTCCACAGTGTGGGAAATGCTTCCGACAGAGTTCCAACCTCCTCAAACATCAGAGAATCCACTCGGGGGAGAAGCCCCACCAGTGCCCGGAATGTGGGAAATGCTTCGCCCAGCGCTCGAACCTCCTCATCCACCAGAGGACCCACACGGGGGAGATGCCCTACATCTGCTCCGAGTGTGGGGCATGCTTCAGCCAGCACCGAGGACTAGTCACTCATCAGAGAATCCACATGGAAGAGATGCCCTGTGGGTATGGTTGTCCAGACTGCGGGAAATGTTTCCAGCAAAACTCGGACCTCACGAAACATCTGAGAGTCCACACGGGTGAGAAGCCGTACAGCTGCCCGGAGTGCGGGAAGAGCTTCAGCTACAGCTCGAATCTCAGCAAGCACCAGAGAATCCACACGGGGGAGAAGCCGTACCTCTGCAACGTGTGCGGGAAGAGCTTCAGCCACTTGTCGACCCGGAATACGCACCAGCGGGTCCACACAGGGGAGAGGCCCTACGGCTGTAGCGAGTGCGGGAAAAGATTCATCTCCAGCTCCAAACTCACGAGACATCTGAGAACCCACTCGGGGCCCACCCCTTACATCTGCAATGAATGCGGGAGGAGCTTCAGTTCCCACGGTACCCTGACCACACATCAAAGAATCCATTCTGCTGAGAGTTACGGCATGAAGACTCCTTGGGAGACTATGGAGCAGAGGCTTGGCAGCCCCATGGGCATTGAGTCGCCTTTGTGACTGACACCGTTTGATTTGTAGCCTGTCCTGATCGTATGTGACATTGTAGGGAAGGTGCTAGTCCGTAAGGCGTTGGAGGAGGTCTGTGCAGTGCAGGCAGGAAGGGAATAGGGGAGGATGTAGGAATAGTCTGGTGGCTTTGGGAATAGAAGTAGGGTAGAGAGAAGGCAGGAAGGCAAGGCTCGTATCGCTGGTTAGTTGTAGGGCAGAGTAAAACCCAGCGAGGCAAAGTGTTCCTCGCACTCTTGGCCGTAGTGAACCTTCCCTGTGCACCACAGCAAATGTTTTGAGCCTCCCTTTAGCAAAGCATGCCCCCCTAATGAAATAGAATGATAGCTAAAATAGAACCTCCACGGTTAGAGGCAGTATACCTTTTGAGTACTAGACACTGGTGGGAAATAGGCTGTGCTTAAAAGCATCTCAGAAACACCTGTCTAGTCCCAGTTGGCAAAAGAAGACTGGATTCAGTGGTTCAGTCTGATTTGGGGAAGCAGTTCTGATCTTTTGAGGGACAGCTGGGCTGCTTATGGGCCTTTGTGCCACGTATACTGCACAATAGGTGGCAACCATGTCACTTTCCAGTCAAGACAGGACTACAGCTCGGCAGTTAGATTCACCTGCTTTCCGTGCACAAAGTCCCAGATTCGGTCTGTGTCATTTCCAGTTAAGAACGTAAGAAGAGCCCTGCTGGATCAGACAAGTGGTCCACCTAGAGGATCTCAGGTTGCAGGAAAGACATTTCTCTGCCTGAAACCGGGAAGAGTGTTGATACTCAGAGGGAGACTATCCTGAGTTAGATGGACAAATGGTCTTTGTGTTCTGTGTCTTCTTTGGGGCAAGTGTTGTTCAGAACCAGACCTTGAATTTTTGATTAAAAACCCAGCATTTCCTAGAGAAAGAAGAGTTGGTTTTTATACCCTGCTTTTCTCTACCTCAAGGAGCTTTAAAGCAGCCTACAATCTCCTTCCCTTCCTCTCCCCACAACAGGTACCTTTGTGAGGTAGGTGGGGTTGAGAGAACTTGTAAGCAGTGTTCCCTCTACGCTGAGTTAGTCTGAGGTAGCTCACAGTTTTTTAGCCTCCAGCTCACACATTTTTGTCTTAGCTCAGGAAGGATGGCTCCAGAGCAAACTATTTTATGCCATAGCCAAATTGCTCACTCACCACTTTAATACCAGTAGCTCACAAAGTAGAATTTTTGCTCACAAGTCTCCACAGCTTAGAGAGAGCATTCGTCGTGACACAACTGGGACTGGCCCAAGGTCATCCAGCAAGCTTCATGTGGAGAAGGAATGGGGAATCAAACCCAGTTCTCCAGATTAGAGTCTGCCACTGACAGACCCCTGCCCCTTCTCTTCTGTGAGGCAGATTTTCCCACCAAAACACTGTTCACCATTCTGTTCACCTACAATCTCCTTCCCTCCCTCTTCCCACAACAGGCACCTTGTGAGGTAAATGGGGCTGAGAGAGTTCTAAGAGAAACATGACTGGCCCAAATTAACCCAGCAAGCTCCATGTGGAGAAGGAATGGGGAATCAAACCCAGTTCTCCAGATTAGAGTCTGCCGCTCTTAACCACTATGCCACTTCTAACTACAGGAGAGATTATCCGTTACAAGGATGGCCATTAACTTAGAAGGCAAGCACTGCTTTCCCATACTATCTCGGGACCAGTCCCCAGAATTGCCATTTGAAAGGATTTCAGTTAGCAGGTAGTGAGAAAGACCTTACTCTGCCTCAAGACTTTGGAGAGCTGTTGCCAGTCAGAGATAGACTGTGCTGGGCTAGAGGGCTCAATAAGCAGACTCAGCAGCTTCTTATGACAAGAGGCCCTGCTTTGCAAGCAGGTTTAATCCATGGCATCTTCAGTCAGAGGAACCTGGTTAGCCGGGATCAGAAAAAACACTCTTAGAACACCCCTGCTAGACAATGGACGGGGTACTAGACTCGATAGAAGGCAGCATCAGCCACAGGCCGCGTAGTGATGAATGGCTGTTTTTTTATAACAGGGCATTCCCTAAAAAGTTTCCATCTCTGAAAAATGCACTGACAGCTGGCTTGGCAAAACCATTAGCTGTCTCCCCAGTCTTCAGTTTACGCCATTCTTCATTTTTTAATATGGCAAGATGACACTATTCATGGTCGTACATCGAGGCATGACTTGAATGGACTAAACAGCCCGAACGAGTGAGAAACAGATCAGCTTTGAACACAAAGTCTTTTTAGGGGAGACGTGTCAGCACAGACTCATACGAATCAAGCCCAAACCGGGGCTCAAAGCGCAAGGCCAGTTTGAATGTTGTTTAGCTGTTAGGACGAAGGACTTGTTGTGGGAGCCAAATAGTCTTGTGTAGCGTGAAGCGATCCCGATGCTGAAGCCTTCAGCAGCCCTGGTTGGAACCCAGGGACTACAAGTCGCCAAGGCAACAGCAGAGGACACACCTGGGCCCAGCATCCCTGTGACAGGCTGCCCTCATCCAGGCCAAGAGGGCAACATGGGACAGTGTTCGAAGACCGGGGTGGCCTGTGAGAAGGGCCTGCGCCGGGCCACCAAAGGAACAGTTTCTGCCGCATCCCTAATTGGACGGGACCGCTGTGGGCAGCCGGAGTAGGAACTCATTCGTGCATATTTCGTGACCCGTCGCTTTTACTTTCTGTTCTAAATTATCCCAAATCCCTGTAGTGGCCCGTAGAGAGTAGTGGTTAAGAGACCAAAGCTGTGGCTCGAAGGTCGGCGTGGTTCTCACAGCTGCTATGAATTCAACAGATTTCCCCTCTCAGCTCCCCTCCCCAACTATGGGGAATACTAGCCTTTCAGACAGGGGTGTCGTCAGGGTCAGAGAGAAAGCACGTGAGAGGTGTGTCCGAAAGCATCCCGTAAATCCAAAATATTTTGATGCGAGAACTAACTCTGGGGTTGAGACTAGGGCAGGTTTGATTCTCAACCAGTGAGGCAGGGGAAGGTTTAGCCCAACACCTGAACACTGTTTGCCTGTGAACTTCCTTTCCCCTCTACGTTAAGTGGCGGCCTGTGTGTCATTCCTAGAGGGGACCAGTTCTGGTGTCCAGCACACAAATCATTCCATGATGGCACATGGATTAATACCAGGTACAATATTTTGGTCTGCTTAAAAAAAGTATCCTGGGGAAGAGCTGTGGGTCGGTGGACAGAGCTCCTGTTTTCCATGAAGAAGATCCTTGGTTCAGTCCCTAGTCTCTCCAGTTAAAAGGATCTCAGAATTTTCTTTGCCCGAGGCTCACTGCCTAGTCAGAGCAGAAAACAGGGAGCTTGAAAGTTGGTGTGAGTCGCATATAAGAAATAAGGGGTGTTAAGTCTGAAACATTAAGATGAAGCACAGCACTTCAGGCCATGTTTGGGGGTGAGGGCAAAACCTGCTCTCTGCTTCAAACATGGGGCGGTGTTCTCTAGGGGGCACTGGGTATGCATCTCCTTGCATGGAGTGCTGCTGGGATGTGCTGCACACCCATACATGTTCCTTGTAGTATCTGAGCTCAGCCTACACGCGGCCCGTTTGAAACAATGGAATGGATCCGAGCATCCCCCACGCAGCCTTTCTCCAACGTAAGTGGCTCTATTTCTAACTGAAGCGCCCCTTCATTTAGAGGAAAGCCGCTTAGATTGGAGGACAGCTTCAAATGTGAGCCGGAAGGAAAGGTGGGGTATATATTATTTTAATAGCTAAATAACATTTGCGTGATGGAGTGGTAGGATAGGAATAGGATCCAGCCCAGTGACCTATATTTTGCTAGTTTTCAGCATTACCGGTTGAATGCCTGGCTTGGAATAGGTGGAGTTG